GCATAGATCGATAATGCATCTCACTAATTCAGATATACTAACATTTTACATTTCATGGTCCCCCTTTTTTGTTATTAGTTGTGAGCTTATGTCATATGATGCAATATAAAAACGGATATAGTTAAGATTATCCTAAGCAAGTACCCAACGCATAGATAGATACTTTTTTAAATATTTTCTCAAAAAAGTTAGGATGACGAATACTGTTTGGTACCTTAATAATTCAAGATGTATATATGCATGATTCATGGCACAGCTAATTTTAAAAGTATACACATATAGATATTAAACTTGTATAAGATTTATTATAGATCTAGCTAGGTAGGATGGATTAATCGGACAAACGAATAGGAATCTTTCTTGTTAAAATATGCATCAAAGACTCTTTTTCAAGACGTTGGTATGCCCAACATCATGTGTATATATGTATAAAAGAGACATTTACCTATAATAATATATTTCTATACTAAAGAAAATATCAAACTCATTAGCTCTGATACGACAGCGAATCTAGGCTTAAAATTCTTGTTTTGACTCCAGGCAGGCTTAAATTTCTTGCTATTTTCGTTATAAACGTGTAATGCATTTTCTACACTTTTCGTATTGGTAAATTATATGTTTGATGTAACTTTTCTATAATTATAATAGAGATTATATTATAAATTTAGATACTAGGACTACTCATAAGATGACAACAAAAGGCTTAGGTAAGAGGTGAAGAGTGAAAGCAACGTCCGTGTGGAAAAAATAAATAAAGTCTGCTTCTTTGATTTAATTGATAGGTTGGTTAAGTATAAACACACTTCAAAAGTTCAACATTCACACTTAATTGCCTCTCACTTTTCTCCTCTAAAATCGTCTCTATTTTCTTCCATACCTCTTCGGTCAGCGCGTTTACTTATTTTACAATTCCAATTAATTGAAATCTAGTAGATAATATTACTCTATTCGTTTCAATATATAAGATGTTTTGGGTAGAAACGCGAAATTTAAAAAACTATTATTTTTCTAAAAAATATCATTAAATATATATAATAAAAATATGGGTTAATTAGTGAAATGACATGTTTGAGCATGTGAATTAGTTAAGTAACATGTACAGATTATAAATTTGTTAACTAACAAAGAGAAATAAAATGAGACTATTTTACCCTTTATAACATTTAATGAAAATTGTCACATTTAATGCATATTTAATCCAAATTTGTTTTGTAATAAAAAGAAAAATATCATTATTTTTCTAGATATAAACTTTAAGTTGACATATATATAAAAGTATTTTTCTGTATTTTACGTTTTTTCAAAAAAACCATGTTTCTTTAAGTTTAATAATAATTGATTATTATTTAAATAGTTAAAATATATAGTGAACTATATCATAAATTAAATACTATAGACATAAATAGTGAACTATTTCACTATTTAATTAAACAAATAGTGAACTTTATTTTAATATAATTAACTAATTATATAAATAATAGTGAACTATTTGTGAATATAACAAGTATAACTGATTTTCTGTGAATAAAATTAATTATATAGATAACTATTTATTTATATATAGCCAACTACACATGGATATCTGATCAA